TCAAAGGTCGATATTGAGGCAGCATTTAGGCTACTTCCTATACACCCCGACTGTTTTAGTTCTTTAGGTTTTCAATTTGAGGGAGGATTTTATTTTGATAAATGTATGCCAATGGGTTGTTCTGCTTCTTGTTTTTATTTTGAAAGTTTTTCAAGTTTTCTGGAATGGTTTCTGTTACAGTTGCCTCCAGGCTGGCTGGAAGTTGGACCGTAGAAAGGATGCTCCTAGCGATCACCAAAGGACCATCGGCACCATATACACCATAACTACTGCGTAGTCACCATAAGTACTGCAGACGAACCGACGCTGCTGGGCTAGGATCTTGCCGTCTGCTATCCACCCTGGACCTACGACCAGGCTCCAGGTTCCAGTAATCTCTTCCTGCTGTTGAGCGAAGCAGGATCAGGAACAAGAGCTCTTACAAGAGCTCAGTAGCTAAGGGAGTATGAAGAGCATAGCAATCCCTGTAGTGATTATAGCTGTCCCCTACAAACATGAGTCAAGGCTGCAAGTTAGAGGGTCAAGTCATTCTGTTTATTGGCACACAAAGAACCTTCTTTTATGCAGGTTTCCCTTAGATAGGACCACCCACAGGGTTTTACACAACAACCAATCATACACGTATATTACAGAAACACTTCCAGCAATTACATACATGTATGTACGTAGTGGGGAATTGCGATGCAGCCTATAACAAAACTAACCCCATTCAACAGAATCCAAAATTTATTGCACAAATAAACAATTAAAACAGGGACAATATGCAGTGTATAAATAGTAAAATATACTAGGCACAAAGCCTAAATAAAACACTGCAGAGGAAACAAGAAAAAGTACCAGATACAATCCTTTGATCTAGCAGCAATTGCGTTTCATCTCCAGCCGGAGTCGTCCTCAGTGCACCATCAGCATAGGCCTCATCCGACCTCCAGCAAGCGCACCCATCCCCTCGAGATAACTAGGCCACATCCGGCCAAACCCCAAGGTGAACTGGAATCCCCCAAGCCAAAACAAGAAACCCACCTCGTCCGATTCCCGACTGCAGCGCACCAGGGCACTCACATTGCTGAGCACACTACCAACAGGAACAGGTGATAGCCTCAGTCCGTCCCCTGAGAACCTCTGGTAAGAAACAGAATGTGTAACATGTCCAGATTCAAGAGCACCCTCAGATTGAAGAGCACCCCATACAACACCGAACCCATATCATTCCACCCAGAGATGACAAAAAACCCCTGGTACCTCCAAGAGGCGGGACAGCCGACCCCGTACGAGGAGGACCACACCCCCACCATGTAACTGGTGCCAGACCACTGAACCTCCGCTCCCGAAGGCGTAAGATCCAACCACTCGCCCCCGCCTCCTGGCCCAAACTACACACGAGCATCCCACATCCCCTTTCCGTAACCGCAGTGAGAAATCCATTCGGAGACCAGCAGGGTGAACCTGAAGGAACCACCACCCTGACTCCCAAAATTCGAGCCCCTGAACCATTGGCGCAGGCACGCCAAGCCTGGCAGCGACCGTAGCCATCCCAAACCAGAATAAATGCCCCTCGAACTCCCCACCAACTTTCAGGCAAATGACGGAAACCTGCACCGCCTCCGATCAGAACGGAATTTGTCAGGCCATCCTGGGAACCCGTTACATCGTGTTAGGAGCCCAACCATCACCCTGTGCATTCCATCTACCTTAGGAGAAAGCGGAAAAGCCAGGGCACGTCGACCCCGAAACATCCATGAATCGCACAGATTCCATCGACGCATCAGCCACACCGCAACTGACTTACCCGTCCCAACGACAACAGCAGTCGAGCGGCGAAACCTGAAATAAGTCCGTCCACCAAAACACCCCACCACTTGCCGACAACTGCAACATGAACAGGAAGCCGAGCCCTGCCAATCGCAGAAATCACCCCTAGCGCCCTCAACAGACGGAACCAAACATGTAGATGAGCAGTCCACTCCCGGAACCTATAAGGAAACGTCCCCATCCGTCCCGATCACTCCCGCCATACTGGAGTGGGCCCCACGCCGCCTCATAGTGCGACCCACGGACCAGCTTCATCAGACTGTTGGACCAGGCGACCACCTCCACTGCCCTAACATCGACCCCGTGACACCTCTGCCCGAAGTATGCCCAATAATGACCAAGACAGAGTGTCGGCCACCACATCGGGAATACCCGGACACAAAAAAACCCAAGACCAGCCGCCCTAGAATCAAACAGCGCCAAGCCAGGCGCTGCAACCAGAGTAACACTGGGGTAAAGTGTACCGTTACATGACAAGACAGCCCGCACCGCCCCACGATGGTCCCAAAGGAAAACCCACCTAGCTGTTCTAGAGCCGGGCACCCCATGCCTACCATGCCACCAGAAAGGGGAAGCTCCAAGAACCCCAAAGTCCGCCAGAAAACCGATCCTTGCCAATGTAATGGGCAAGAGTCAGCACACCATTGAGAGCCCAAATTGGCCCAAAACCCCCCAAAACCTGCTGCAGCAGCAAACAGCTGGAAGTCAGCGGAAAGACTTGGGGGGATTGCACAAACCACCGTCAAGGGAGGCCCAGAAGGAACCCTATACAGACCCAAGGGCAATCCCAACAAGCAAAGCCCAGCAAACCCAACAGAGTCCAAAGGTAGTGCAGCCTAAACCCGCGACGCCCCTGAAAACCACCGACACATACTGCCCGATGTTCCAAACCGCAGTCATAAATGACATCGGGAGCAACCTACATGAAGGCACATAACCACCCAATCCTGACCGTCGGGAACACAACCTGGAAACAATAAACCCGACGGGCGTACCGGCAGCAGCCGTAAAACTGATTCCACAGCCGCCTGTGTCTGCAAGGCCCCGCAGCCCCACCCACGCAGTCCGCTGCGCCGAGCCATCATCCCAAACCTAGCCCCTGGAAGGAAACGACAACTGAGCAAATAAGTAATCTGGAGATACTGACCCTGCTCCTCCTCCTTGGGCACCACAGCGAACTCCAGGGGTACCCTAAACGACTGGGAAGTAAACTTATAAGCGTTCTTGGTAAACTGGACCCACATCGCCGATGGAGCTCCCACATGAACTGAGGGTCCCCATCCCGACCGATTGCAGAGAGGACGGAAAAACACGCTGTGCTGAGGGGCCAGGTGAGCCCCAAAGAAAACCAGCGGCAAAACCCATCCGGCCCCAGGCCAAGAAGGGTCGCACTGCCAACCGTTGATGAAAGTGCAAAACGAACCTCCACCAACCCAGCTTATCACAGGGACGATACGCGTCCCAAGAGTGTCCTGACCGCTGAACCACGCAGCGCCGACTCGGGGAGCCCTGTCCGATATGCGCACTGGGGTGCATCTGACCACAGCATGCTCCCCACGACCCTCCCTGAACCCCTAATGTCCCCCTTAGTCAAGGGACCCCCATGGCAGGAGGGAACAGCCTTCGATACAAACCCCCATTCTCCATCCGCTCCCTAGCGTTACGCGCAAGCCAAGCGGGCCACATGAGCTCAGCAGCCCAGAGTCACGTGAACTTGGGAGGCATCGCCGGCGCTATCAGCTGCGCCAGACGCTGCGGGAAAGCGTACCTAAAGGTATAATACATACTGAAAAAGGAAAGGGGGTACCTAAATTTTGTTTTATCGTGGATTATATATATATAATTGTTTTATTTTATTCTTTTTATATATTGAATTCTCCCCCTTGTACTTGACGTTGGATTCCTTTATTTATTTATTTTTTTTGTTATTTTTTTTTATTTTTATTTTATTCCAATAGGTAATTTACCTTGTATTTCTGTCCTGCAATTTCTTCCTTGTCTGTATCAATTTTTTTTATTTTTTTTTAGGAAGAAAGGAAGAAAGAACGTACACACGCGAAGCGCTAAAAGAAGGGAAATGTACTCACCGGACGCAGCCTGGCGATCCAAGCCCGGCACTGCGCTCACAGAAGGCTGAGGCAAAGAAACAGCAGTTCCAGCATCCACAGGAGACATCAGCTGTGATCCAGGCGCCACCTGATGGACGGATCCATGAACTGCAGCAGCATGCTGAGAAGAAGCAGCAGAGAAGATGAGAGCCCACGCCCCAGAGGAGATGGCCGAGGTAAGTGACCTGGGGGAGGGAGGGGGTTCAGTCAAGCTAGAGGGGCAAGGTAGAGGGGGGGGGCACAGAGAGGATGCAGGTAGGGAGGGATAGAGAGGGAGGGGAGGATTAGAGCAGGGGGGGGAGAAAAAAATGGGCAGGAGGAAGGGGGGACCAGGGGGCCCAGGCAAGGGTAAGCTGGGTCCCCTGGAAGAAAAAGGAAAATAAAGTCAGCACTAAGAGGGAGGGAAGGAGAGACAGAGCCCTGGGAGCCTTCCTCACTGGCAGAGGAGGCTCCCGACGGGCAAGGGGACCCCCCCCCAGCGGCCCGCGAGGGCCCACTCACCTCCCCGCCGGCTGCGGGGGATCTGCATAGTTGCCGGGCGGCCACCCGCCGCCCGGATCGCGGGATCCGCCTCCCACCGCCCCCGGCCCGCAATCCAGCACTGGCGGCCGGGGCGGTTGGTGTGGAGGGGGGGAGAGGAGTAGGCCGCGCGGCAGCCGCACCAGGAGGCCGCACGGCAGTTGTAGGCCGCATCCCCGGCCTGGAGGTAGTAGGCGGCCCAGTAAGTAGCTGGCTGGGCGGCCATGGGGGTAGCAGGCCGCGCGGCAGTGGCAGGCCTCGTGTCTAAAGGCCGTGCCACCCGCGCGGCCTCAGTAGGCCTCAGATCCCGGCCCCCCAGTAGTAGGCCGCGTGCCTGCAGCCCCAGACACGCGGCCCCCGCGGTGCCCCGGGCCCAGGCTCCTGCTCCTCACTGGGCCCAGGGAGTAGGATCCAGGGACAGCCTGGATGGCGGGTGGGAATGCCTGCCAGTGCTGGTGCGGCCCCCAGGGGCAGGGGCCGCATGGGAGGCAGCAGGGGAGACCGCAGGGGGTGCTCCAGGGGGAGGTAGGCCACGGGGGGTGCCCACACCGGCAGCCATACCTCCAGTAATGCTTGCCAATTGCCTCCACAGGTGCCGGCCACCATCCAGCGCAGCAGCCCTGAGGGACGACCGGATCACCTCGACATCCATCCCTCAAGCTGTGTCAATCTGCAGGCCCAGGCAAACAGGAGCAGGAAGACAGTAAGCTGTTTGCTGGCCCGAATCCCAAGTGGCACTGAGGTAAGACCTCCCCCACACTAATTTATATTGAACCTAACCCCTCCCACACACTCTATCCCATCCAATCCCATGCATCTATCCCCACACTCCTACATGTGCCCGTGTCCGCTTAGCTGCGCTATCTCCCCAGGGCCTAAAATCCTCCCCTCTGCCTGTGATATAATTATGGTACACAATGCTTTAACATAATTAACACAGGCAGTAAAAATACAGTTTTTTTATACAGATCATATAACTTTAAAACCATACATCCAATCTTCATATAAATAAGCAGCCTTCAAATATAAACATACCCAAAAATCAGCCAAATCCATCCAGGGGTTAAAAAGTTAGCTGGAGGTCCCTTTATGACCGACCGCAAGCACATTTTCCTGCCCAAAACAGTTCCATAGATTTGGGCTGTGCGGTCGGTCTATTTCAGGCTGACAAAACGACTAAATTCCAATTTTTCATTTAAAGGGCCAGTTACAAATAGCAGTTTGTAACACTTATTAATACTACATCTGTGTGGTACACAAGGAGGGGTGTGTGGTTTAGATAATCTCATCCTAGCATTATTCATTATTGGGAACATAGGCCATAAATCAGGATTTTGTAGTAAGAGAGTAATATATTGTTGAAGAATTCTGAATCAGATGTTTTATGTTTTTAATATTTTATATATAGTTTTGAGTGTTAATCCAAGAGTATTGAGTTATTTGGGATTATTAAAGTAATTCATTGGGATTATCAAATCAAGGTTTAACTTTAGGAACAGAATTTTATCAGGAATTATCCCCATATGTATATGTTAAGAATATATGTACATATATATATATATTTGAAGGCTTGGCCTGGAGTTGTGGGAGGGGCTTGGTTCACCTTTAAAAGGGCTGCCAATCCACTCCCACCTTACCGTTGCTGGTCTGGCGAGTCTGAAACGTTACTACCGGTTCAGACCGCCATCTTGGATTTTTCCTTACCTGTTCCCTCGTGGTCTCCTGGTCTGGGCTCCCCTGGCTCTCCTTACCGTCGCCGGCGTCCGCACAGCTCGCTCGTTACTTTTTCTTCACGGAAACTGTAAGTCAGGCTCGCCGTAAAGCAACCGCTGCAATTTCCCTGCTTTACACGGCGTAGCCCCGTTCGGTTCAAATCTACGTTCGGTTCGGTTTTATTGTATCACCAAAACTATGTGCCCAAATAAAGCATTCCCAAAAACGTATCACACATGTGTGAACGTCACTTTATTGACATCAATTTTACAGCCACATCCTTCACGTCATTTAACTGAATATATTATTTTGGGCATGACTGAGGGTTTTCACACCGGGTTGGTCCATTTACCCTCCGGCACACTGGAATGCAACAACCTGCAGTCCACATTAGATGATCCACAGTTGGTAAATACACTTATCTCAACTGAGTTGGAACAAGGGTTTCTGTTGGGACCATTCTTTTCCCCACCCTTCACGTCTTGGAGAACCAACCCTATAGGGGTGGTCACATGGAAGACCTCACTTAAACCCAGATTGATAATTGATTTATCAGTACCACACTCCTCCACTATCCCCAGCCTAAACTCTCTAATACCTTCTGAAGAATTTTCACTGCACTACGCCACTATCGACCATGCCATAGGGGCCATTATACAAGCAGGTACGGGAGCATGGCTGAGTAAAACAGATGTGGTAAACGCCTTTAAGCTACTACCCATACATCCTTCCCTGTGGCATCTACACGGTATTAAATGGCAAGGGAGGTATTATTTTTTCACCCGACTAAGTTTTGGCTCCAAAAGCAGTCCACGTATTTTTGACACGTTTGCAGAGGCTCTATGTTGGCTCTTACTAAATGTGTGCAAGTGCCCTTCGGTTATCCACTATCTAGACGATTTCCTCTTGATTGAGAATAACACTCTTCCACCTAGTAGTTTGAATCACTTATTGGCACTGTTTGAATCTCTTAACATTCCTGTCTCTCCTCACAAAACTTTGGGTCCAGATAACTACATGCAATTTTTGGGCATACAACTAGACACGATAAACATGCAGGCCAGTCTACCTCAGGACAAGATTGAGCGTACCCTGGCAAGTATTGAACATTACCTGCTACAAGGTCATTGCAATCGGAAAGAACTTCAATCACTACTTGGATCGTTCAATTTTGCCATGAGGATCATACCCCAAGGTAGATCTTTTATATCCCACCTGTTATCCTTGTTTCCACTGTTTTCTTCAGACACTTCACATATCACATTAGATGTACACGCAACTTCTGATTTACGCATGTGGCGGGTCTTTCTCACCTCTTGAAACGGGCGAACCATGTTTATACCACCTCCCTCCGACACATCACCTACATTATGGACAGATGCCGCAGCTAAAACAGGCTTTGCCGCCATCTGGGGTGACCAATGGCTTTGGGGCCCTTGGCTGATCGAAGTCGAATCACTACCCACATTTTCTGACACCTCGGCTTTATTTGAGTTGTACCCAATCGTGGCGGCAGCCATTGCTTGGGGACCATATTGGTCTGGCCACACGGTCAGGTGCTACTCGGATAACCTGGCTACATGCCACATTGTGAATAAAGGCCGTTCGGCATCACTGGTCATTATGAGACAGCTAAGGCGTCTCACATGGGTAGCAGCCACTTGTCAATTCTTTATAACATGCATACACATCCCGGGGTACACAAACACCGCTGCTGATCACTTGTCTCGGTTTCGTTTCCAGGCTTTCCTCTCGTCACTACCCAACGCTTCCAGACGAGCGACACCTGCACCTCTTTTCCGAGACATGATCATGGATTAAAGACCTTGTTAGATCACACACGTCACATTTCTCATATGGCACTCTCAGTAAACACTAGGGACACTTATGATAGGGCATTTCACGTATTCAAAAAATTTATCACCGAGTTTCACATTCACGACATGTTTGCATTAGAGACGATTTTGGGGTTTACCTCTTTTTGCCACATTAACCTTAAACTATCCTTTAATACTATTAAACTGTACCTTACCAGCATCCAACACCATATGCTCATCCAACAACCTAACAGTACTGCTTTCCTAACCTCATACCAAATTAAAACATTACTTAAAGGCATTAAAAAATTAGATACACATGTTCCCTCACAAAGACTACCTATAGACAACAACCTCTTCTACTCTCTATCCAACCTATTAGATTCATCTCCTTTCGAACCCATGACAAATAGCACTATCAAAACAGCACTATATCTTGCCTTTTACGAGTTCCTCCGGCCTAGCGAATTCACAACCACAACCATCACCGCACCTGACTACCTTAGAACCAATGATCTACAGAAACATACCGACCATTATATTCTCTCTCTAAGACAATCCAAAACCAGCACCGACGGACACAGTATTCAGATACCCCTGTACCCTACTCACAATATATGGTGCCCAGTTAAAGTGTTAGACACTTATTCACTTTCAGTACAAAAACAACCTCAACAGCCTTTGTTTGAACTGCATGGAAACACTCTGGCCACAGCTAAATTCATGCTGTACATACGACTTCTGTTGACCAGGCTCGGCCTAAACCCCAATCAATTTTCAGGTCACTCTTTCCGTATAGGAGCAGCATCTTCCGCATCCACTAACCACGTCCCCGCTCATATTATTAAGGCCATGGGGCGATGGAAATCCTCCGCCTACACACTCTACATACCCAATCCTGTTAAATAATTAAGATAAGCTTTTTGTGACTTATCTCAATAAAAGAAGTTGGTTCACGAATTATGTTTTCTGGTTATTTTCTTTTTGCCCACTTTTATTACAGGCCTACTGCTTTGTCGGTTCCGGCACACCACAACCGACTGGTGCATACTCATGGATGTTATGATTGTATTGTGCTAAGATTTCTCTGTTCGGCTATATTGCCCTGACTACAAATATATGTGTATATATATATATATATATATATATATATATATATATATATTTCATCAGTCACTTGCTCAAGAACGTGTTTTAGTAATCCTGTCCAACAAGCATTTAAATACCCTGTATAGTGAGCGCTTCTCTCATCTATACAAAGGCATTCCAAAGTGAAATATGTAAATTCCATAGAAGACAAATTTAAAGGACCACTATAGTGCCAGGAAAACATACTCGTTTTCCTGGCACTATAGTGCCCTGAGGGTGCCCCCACCCTCAGGGTCCCCCTCCCGCCCGGCTCTGGAAGGGGAAAGGGGTAAAAACTTACCTTTTTCCAGCGCTGGGCGGAGAGCTCTCCTCCTCCTCTCCGCCTCCGTTACGCCCCGCCGGCTGAATGCGCACGCGCGGCAAGAGCTGCGCGCGCATTCAGCCGGTCTCATAGGAAAGCATTTACAATGCTTTCCTATGGACGCTGGCGTGCTCTCACTGTGATTTTCACAGTGAGAAGCACGCAAGCGCCTCCAGTGGCTGTCAATGAGACAGCCACTAGAGGCTTTGGGGGAAGGCTTAACCCATTCATAATTATAGCAGTTTCTCTGAAACTGCTATAATTATGAAAAAATGGGTTAACCCTAGAAGGACCTGGCACCCAGACCACTTCATTAAGCTGAAGTGGTCTGGGTGCCTAGAGTGGTCCTTTAATGACTTATAAGCAAAGCTGAGAGAAGTACATGATACACAAGTTGAGGGTTTAACTTCAGGCTCTAATATGACTTTTGATCTAGGTTAATGATTAATTGATAATAATAGATATATCCTTTTAGGAATTGTTCATGTCATATTGACCCTTGTGTTTGTATATTTGTAGAGACCAACTTGGAGTGTTTGTGCTACCTTATCATTGGGACCTGCACAGCAATCTCTCTCTGGCTGACTTTGCACTAACTATTTTGCAAAACCCATGCAAGCCGAAGAAACTGAGATACTTACTTATGAGGACATAAACTTTGTACGCAAGAACCTGGAAAGTCCTGAAGGTACAGTGCTGTCTAATGCCGCTGTAATAACCCTTTCAATAATTGGGGTGTTGCACAGAGCATTGAAGAAGAATTAAGAACTATGTGGAAGCTGACATTGTCTTGTCGTCAGCCATATTTCTACCCTTAGCTATTTTATGGAACAAAATGTATGGTGTCCGAACTGATTTCTTTATACTCCTTGAAAGACTTATTCTATTTTTCTGAACTATGCTGAACTATTGAACTAGTTTGTTATTTTTATTTTTGTAGAGTTAGCCGGAGAGAGAGGAAGTGTTAGCTGACCCAGGGATAAATGTAGTTTGTGTTGTTGATGTATGTTGAGTGTGCCAAGGATGGATTCCCATGTTTTGAGGAACTGAGTGTGGATATTACTGGTGTGACAGATCCCTCTGTCTGGGATCTATGCCTATAACCCTTTGGTTTCATCTGCTTTTCGGTTAATTTCCTGTCCATACCCCCCATTCATTTATTTCCCAAACTCACAAACAAATTTCCAAATGGCCGGCCACCCAGCAGGGAAGTGTGCTGCTGGTTAACCTCTTGGTTAACCGCAGACACCTCCTAATTGTCAACGGTATGCTCGGTGATAGTCATTCGTATGCTGACTACGAGGCGGTGGCCATCTTGGATGCACGAATGATCGGCGGTATTTGTCGACGATTCTATGGAACCAAAAACTGACACTTTCTTCCGAACACCGCTGAAACCGCCAACCTTCCTTCTCTGCCATCCAGCATACAAACGCCGGTCCATTCGGTACTTTCCGGCATGAACAGCCTTACCCCAGATAGCCATCCCATCCCATGGAGCCCATTCGTATACCAAATGACAATGTGAAAGACTTTGGCTCCATGGCGATTGAACTGTGTGTATAGGATCTGAGCGCCTTTCGGTAATAATGTGCGCTCAGATCCAAGCTATCTGGGGATATGTTAAATGTGGTCATTATATTCATGTAATTTGAAGTTATTAATTTTTATGTATTTTATTACTATGTCTAAAATTGAGTCTAGCCTCTATCCGTGGAGATAATTGGATTACTTCCCAATTATCTCCAGGATAGAGAGGATGTTTTATCGCAGCTAAAGGGGAGTGTGTGTGCTTGTGCCACTGTGATTGGCAACTGTATCCATATTGTCCCAGTCTTCCATCTGGTCCCCTAGGGGAGTGTCCACCAGGTGGAAGACCTGCATAAATACCGGCCAGGTAGCCCTCAATAAACCAGATCTCTGCTCAACCCTCAATATGGAGCTTGGTCTCGTATTTGGGGGTATTGCATTCGTATGGTTTACCCGTTCGGCTGTTTGGTTCGTGAAGGATTTCGTATGGTACCTGTTCGGCTAATTGGAGCTTTCGTTAGCTGCTTCTCTATTCGGAAAGGGACCATCTTCAGCAGTATTAACCGCTCTTATACCTGGGTGTACCGTAACAACTGGTGGCAAGCGACGTGATGGTTTTCACAGCCCAGAAGGTCAGCTACACAGGAACATAGACCGATGGAAGTACAGTAAGAAAGACTGAAACACTCTACCCTCAAACATCTGCTGGAAAGCCGTGGACGATTGGCCAGTAACTGCAAGGGACAAGGGACATCATCGCAGAGCCAGTCGAGAGGGATGGAGTTGAAGGAACCGAAAGAGCCACGTAACTGAGAGGCCCAGTATAACAGACTGAACCCCCGAAGAGGCAAGTTTTGATCAAGCGGTTAAGTTAAGGTTGGCGTACTATGGTCCTAACCCGACCGTGGACATTTTAGCCACAGTGCAGGCAAGTTTAATGCAACAAAGAGGTGCTGCAGCAGCCCAAACCACCGTAATCCCGGCTGAGAAAAAGAAAGTTCATTTTGCCGCATTTTAAAATTTCGTTAAAATAGAAGGGGAAATCGACGGATACCTTGCGGATTTTGAGCAGTAATGTGCACTGCACAGGGTACCCCCAGAGGACTGGGTTACTATTTTGTCCGGGAAGCTGTCCAGCCGGACAAGTGAGGCTTGTAGCGGAGCGGCAATATTAAATTCCACGATCTCCACTGGTATAGAAGGTAATCCACAGTCAAGCACTGAAAAGTAAGGCAATATCCCAAATCCCCCCAGTAACCGGACGAAACACAGTTCTGGGAGTCAACTGAGGTTTTTATTCACAGCTCCAGTATTTATGCAAGTCCCCATGCAAGGGGTTTCCCTACTGACATTGCAGGGGTAATACAGTAGGGGACTACATGAGGGACTTAACATTCTGAACATTTTTCCCATCAGGCACTGCTGGACGAGAGGGATACTCCTACTGGAATATACCATTAAGTGGATTATCCCTCCGTGCAGCAGAACCGGCATTTTACATTTAAATACATAACTTTCATAATATTTGAGTTATTTAAACAAATTGATGTTCGGTAGATAGCTGGGGTCTGAGTGCACATTTAGTGAGAATACCGCTCAGATCCCAGCTAAAACAACCAAACGCCGCACGAAATACACTTTGCCATTGAGTTCGTCTGAAAGTACCGAACACTTATGGGGAACCGCAATAGTGAAAGACCGGAGCTCCCGAATGGCCTGGAAGTCCAGCGGTGTTCGTGCCGTCAAGTAGCCGATTTCGGCTCCACGTGCTCGACGACCAAACATCGCTGGTGAGACAAAGGATCCAAGATGGCCAACCGCCGCGTGGTCAGTAGCCGAACGACGGCCACCTAGGAAAGTCTTTAATTACCGATTGCAACAATGTTGCAATCGGTTAATGGGTGCCACACATCTCTCTATGTGTGGGCTATTAGGGGGTAGCTCATTCGGTTCATGAACAGCCCGTATAGTCGCTGTTCGTGAAACAAAATACATGAATGCTAGCGGCTTTCGGCTGCTAGCATACAAATTCTATGCAAAAAGACAATGTAGACCCAGTTTATACATATTTTACAGCGGTTAGTAAGGACAACCTTTTTATACATATAGTCCAGCATCCTACAAGTGGCTAGGTTTGCCACAATGCTCCGCCAGAACCAAGCCGGCATACACAGTCTGATCCCAATGGATCAGCTTGGGGATGTTTGGAGGAGTGCCCACAGATCACTTTTCAAGTTCAGTTTGTCTAGATAACCCCTCGGCGTTACCGTTTTGTTTCCCAGGACGTTATTGGATGGTAAAGTCAAAAGGCTGCAGCGCCAAACTCCAGTGCAGCAGCCTGACATTGTCTCCAGCCACACGGTTTAGCCACACCAACGGGTTGTGATCTGTGAGCAGGGAAAAAGGTTGTCCATATAGATACCGCTGCAACTTTTTGAGGGCCCACACCACGGCCAGGCATTCTTTTTCGATGGCGGCGTAGCTCACTTCTCGTGGTAATAGTTTTCCGACTTAGATACGCTACGGGATGTTCTCCGCCATCTGCTCCAACTTCTCGTGGTAATAGTTTTCCGACTTAGATACGCTACGGGATGTTCTCCGCCATCTGCTCCAACTTCGCTCAGCACTGCTCCCAATCTAAACATTGAAGCATCTGTGTGAACAAGAAAGCGTTCAGTTGGATCAGCAAGTACAGGTGCATTAGTTAGAGCCGTCTTGAGTTGGTTAAATGCCTGATCACACTCTGGGGCCCAGATGACCTGTCGAGGAATGTTCTTGCGCGTCAAGTCAGTCAAGGGTTTGGCCAGGGCACTATAATTGGGTACGAACTTTCTATAGTACCCTGCAGTACCCAGGAAAGCTAGCACTTGGGTTTTGGTCCTAGGGGTGGGCCACTTAGCAACGGCTTCAATCTTGGCTGGTTCGAGTTTTTGTTGCCCGCTCCCCACCCGGTGGTCCAAGTACTGCACCTCTGCCATCCCTATATGACACTTGCTAGGTTTCAGCGTCAACCCTGCCTCCCCAATACAATCAATAACGGCCCCTATGTGTTGCAGGTGCTCTGCCCAGGTCTGGCTATATATGGCGATATTGTCCAGGTGTGCGCATGCATATTCCTGGAACCCGTCCAGTAGCCGATCTACCATCCTTTGAAAGGTCGTCGGGGCGTTTTTCATCCCGAACGGCATGACCCGAAATTGGTACAGGCCAAACGGGGTGACAAACGCCGACTTGGGGATGGCATCCTTGGCTAGTGGAATTTGCCAGTATCCCTTACATAAATCTATGGTAGTGAGATACTGACCAATTGCCATCTTATCCAGCAGCTCGTCTATCCGGGGCATCGGAGAGGCATCAGACACAGTTTTGTCATTTAGCCTCTGGTAGTCAACACAAAAACGTGTCGTGCCATCCTTCTTAGGTACCAGCACTACCGGCGATGCCCAGGGGCTATCGGAATGTTCAATAACACCTAGCTGCAACATTTCCTCAATCTCTTTCCTCATATGTTCCCTGACTGCTTCAGGGATACGATATGGGGTCTGTGAGTGGCTAGCGGAGTGTACCCGGGCAAATTGGAGAAGGTGGCTCCTTTAGCCGTGATCAACTCTTGTACCTGAGCCCGCTCCTGAGGGCTTAGCCGCTCCCCCAGCTGAACCCCCGTGGAGGGCTCTGTCTGGTCATCCTGTTCTAATAGGTCAGGTAGTGGCAGGTTCTCCTGATCCTCAGAGGCGGAGGCGCATATTGCTGCCACGTTCTCTATCCTCTCATGATAGGGTTTGAGCATATTCACGTGGAGCATGCGTGGAGCAGGGGCCAATCACATAGGTGGTGTCACATCTCTGTTCCACCACCTGGTATGGGCCCTGCCAGCCCCTGCAGCTTCTCTGTGCGGACCGGTTTTAAAATCAACACCTTCTGTCCCACTTGAAAGCTGCGGTCTCTGGCTCCCTTATCGTACCAGCGGCACTGGAGTTGTTGGGCCACCTGGATGTTGGTGCGCACGGCCTGGGTTAGTGCCTCCAAGCGGTCCCTGAACTCCAGCACGTATGGTACAATGGGGGTCCTATCTGTGGTACTCTCTCCCTCCCAATGCTCTCTAATTAAGTCTAACGGCCCTCACACCCTTCTCCCAAACAGCAATTCGAACGGGGAAAATCCTGTCGACTCCTGGGGTACCTCCCTATAGGCGAAGAGCAGATGGGGTAGAAATCGCTCCCAGTCCAAACGTACGGAGCATCTGTTTCAGGGTACCGTTAAATCTTTCGCATAAACCATTGGACTGGGGGTGATACGTGGAATTTACTATCGGCTTAATGCCCCATATCTTCCACAGTTGTTGGGTGACCTCGGCGGTGAACTGGGTACCCCTATCGGATATGATCTCTTGGGGAAACCCCACCCTGGAGAATATTTTCATTAAGGCCTCGGCCACAGTTTCTGCGTGAATGTTGGAGAGGGCGATGGCCTTGGGGTACCGGGTGGCGTAGTCCGCTGTATCTTGACTGGAGTCTCACCGTCTTCTTTCCACCCTGGATCAGCTTCTGTCCTCCAGGACTGTGTGGGAAAGAACTCTTCCTTCCACCCTGTACGAACCTCCAGCATCCAGGACTGTGTGGTGAAGACCCCTCCTCCAAGGAGAACGTGTCAGGAACAAGCTCTTAAAAGAGCTAAGTGATTCAAGCTCAGGGGAGCATGCAGAGCATAGCAATCCCCAGTGTGATTATAACAGCTCCCTCCAATAATGAGACAAGGCTACATTTAGAGGGATCAAGAAGAACTGTCTAAACCTTTATTTCCCTTGGGACCAGCCCATAGGGTCACCACAATAACATTGTAGTGAAACATCAATAAAATCAAAAACAGTCAAACCATAGCAGGCAACACACAGTGACTTATCACAACACAATGGCACATTTTTAAAGGGGTGGGGGAGACAATATTTAACAGTAAATATCTCACCTGCCTGCAGAATTAGCAATATGTAAATCTACCCGAATATGCAAATGCACCAGTCTTGCAATTCAGGTAGTGCATATTACTGTTGCTACCAACAGAGGGCACTAGACAAGCTCCATAGACAAACCCACCTAGTTGGTAGCAAACCTCAGCAGTACAGGAGAGCAGGCAATACATTTCACAGTACACACACACACTATAAACAATTACATTACACACACCCTGCACCTATAATGGGTACAGGGTGACTAAAACATAAGATAAATAAAGCAGCCTACATAAATAGTCTGTCTGAAGGTAGACTAGGGGCTTTAAAGCCAAATACATGAAAGAGTCATAGTCACAGGGGAGGAGGCTGGCAAGCAGGCCTCTCCAGGACCAAGTGGCGAAGGGCACTTCGTCACATAGCCGATTTCGGCTCCACACGCTCGACGACCAAACACCGCTGGTGAGACAAAGGATCCAAGATGGCCGGCCGCTGCGTGGTCGGTAGCCGAACGACGACCACCTAGGAAAGTCTTTATGTGTGGGCTATTAGGGGGTAGCTCATTCGGTTCATGAACAGCCCGTATAGTCGCTGTTCGTGAAACGAAATACATGAATGCTAGTGCCTTTTGGCTGCTAGCATACAAATTCTATGCAAAAAGACAGTGTAGACCCAGGTTATACATATTTTACAGCGGTTAGTACAGACAACCTTTTTATACATATAGTCCAGCATCCTACAAGTGGCTAGGTTTGCCACAAGGCTTTTCGTGCCATTCCAGATGAGGATATTGCTGATTACAGTGTTGTGAAAGAAGCTCTGTTAACAAGGTATTGTTACAAAGACTCGATATGACTTTATTATTGTTACCACATCTTGTTACTGTTGCATCCCTATATTATTGACCCAGAGAAAATACGAATCCTTATAACGAACGATTCGTGGTACGAACGAGAGACCCCCCACTTAACCTCATCACCCCTCAAAGTACCGAATGACCGACCACCCGACAAGCGGAGGGTGTCGCCCATTAACCCCCCAGGCTGCTGCGGTCTGCGGTTAACCACAAACAAAATTGACGGGCACAGAGGATCGCATACAAATTACCGAATGGAAACTACCGAAGAACTCCCGAACGGAGACCTCCTACAGTGGGTCGTGTGGCAGCGATTAGAATGTGGTTTCTGCGGTTGACCGCAACTCAAGTACCGTGCTACCGAGCGGTCTCAATTCATATACCGAACAATTTCCACTACCAGACAGACAGCGGGGATTCGCATGAGCACATATCCGATTTCAGTTCCATAAGTTGGAGTCGAGGTCCCGCTGCTCATTAAACCGCCTAAAAACATGGCCGCCAGGGACTCACGACCAAAGTACCGAACAGACTTTATACGGCAGAAATTGCTCATTCCGTTCGCGGGGTCTGAGCGCCATTCGTATATTTAATGTATCCGAACTCAAGCTATTGAATGAATGGTAGAATGAACCGTTTTCCCCTACTAATATTGAAGTTATGTATTTTTATACAGTTTTATGAGGCATAATAAAACGTGGTCTTTTGTGCGCTTGGAGATGATTAGATTGTATAACCGTTGGCCTCATTATCTCCAAGCTGGGTGGGTACTAATTCAAATGATACATTGTACTGTGATTGGTTACCTGTTTGTACTGTACCTGTATTCCATCAGGTCCATAGGGGGCTGTCCTTGGACCTGAGGAATTGCATAAATTGCCATGTTTGTGTGCCAGTAAAGCCAGTTCATTTTGACCCTCAACTTGCAGCCTCGACTCATGTTGTAGGGATCCGGGATATTGATGCTTATACAGCTTTTGGGATACTCTACACTTGCAGCTTTTACCAAAGGAACTCCGTTCGACTCCAACCGATCAACCCCCCTGCTAGACCGGGGGCAATCGTAACAGGTATGCCGTCACACCGGAGGCATACCGGAGGCGATTCAGAGACACGAACAAGCTGCCAGGAGATTCTTATACCGAGTGGGCATGCCGGGTACACAGCACCGCAGCCCACTGGGTCACTGGCTATCAAGCCGTATCTTGGGAAGAGGTGCTCCAGTCATTTCTCTTAGAACACTTCTTTGACAAGGTTGTATAGAATCCATAAACCTTCCCAGAAAAGTAATGCCCCGTCTCAGAATCAACAGCTGGTGGTGCCTGCGAAACACCGGCAGGACATTCTGCGAATTGGGCACGATGTACCATTACCTGGACATAGGACGCACAGCACATAGGATAACCCAAAATTTATTCTGGCCCAATTTTAATCAGGCTGTGTGACAGTATTGTAGTACGTGTGACACATGTCAACGGGTAGATAAGCAGGGGGGACCACCCTAACGCTAGACTCATGTCAATGCCTATTATTGGAGAACCCTTTTCCCGTATAGCTGTTGACATTGTGGGTCCACTGGCCAGGGCTAGCCCATCTGGAAAGAAGTATATCCTTACTGTGGTTGACTATGCTACCCGGTACCCAGAGGCAAAAGCTCTGTCCAATATTGAGGCAGAGACAGTAGCTAGTGCCTTGATTAACATTTTTATAAGAGTTGGGTTCCCTAAGGAGATCCTCTCCGACCAGGGAACTCCGTTTACCGCTGTGCTCACCTAGCAGTTGTGGAAGGTGTGCAATATTAAACCATTGCTTAGTTCACCTTACTACCCCAAGACTAACTGTCTCTGTGAGCGCTTTAATGGCACCCTCAAGCAAATGCTGAAGACCTTTACTGATGCCTGCAGAGACTGGGAGCGATTCCTGCCTCATTTGTTATTTGCGTACAGAGAAGTGCCCCAGGGATCTACTGGGATCTCTCCCTTTTGGGCAGAAAAGCCATGCTTCATTTGGTTACAAAGGACTACGATCTATCTTTTGAACCACTGGACAAATTTGTATGATTTTGATGTATGTTTGAATTTGGAGTATGCTGATTCTGATGTAAATGTAAGTTTTATGTGAATGTGATTTAAAGTTATGAATAATGTGGAAAAATTGTATTTCTCTGCCTGTGATAATTACATTACCCATTGTGTAAGGTAATTGTATCACAGGCAGAGGGGAGGATTTTGTGTGGGAGTGTCTGAGTGTATTGTATGTGTTTATTGGTTGTTTCCCAAAACCCTGTGGGTGGTACTAATGTGTAAGAATGTGTATATAAGAACAATAAACCCACAGCTCTGTCTGTTCACTGCTTGACTGTCAACACGGAGCTTTGTCTCATTCTTGGGGGATTTATTGTATGCTGTTCCAGTTTGACTGCTAGGAGTGTAAACCTATTCGTATGGTTTTTCCTATTCGGCTGTTTACGGCTTTCACATGGTTTCCTGTTCGGCGGATTGGTGTCTTTGGTAGCTGCCTGTATATCTGGAAGGGAATATCCTCTAAACAGCGTTTAAACCCTTTTATGCCCGGGGTGCCGTTACATACAGTAGGGTGTGGAAATCAGAGACTGGAGCCAGCCAAGGTAGAGGCAGTTGCTAACTGGTCCACACCACGCACAAAGACCCAGGTACTGGCCTTCCTGGGGACTGCAGGGTATTACCGACGTTTTGTCCCTGACTACAGCGCTATTGCCAAGCCCCTGACAGACCTGACAAAAAATAATTTACCTAGGCAGGACCTGTGGTCTCCAGCTTGCGAAGCTGCATTTATTGCTCTTGGCTGCCCCAGTACCTAACAAACGTTTCCTTGTCCACACAGATGCTTACATGTTTGGACTGGGGGCTGTGCTGAGCCAAGTCAGAGAGGATGGAGGAGAGCACCCTGTCACATATCTCAGCAGAAAACTACTACCCAGGGAAGTGAGTTATGCGGCAGTGGAGAAGGAGTGCTTGGCCATGGTCTGGCCACTGAAAAAACTGAACCCTTATTTGTATGGACTGACCACAATCCCTTGGTCTGGCTTAACCAGGTCTCAGGAGACAATGGCAGGTTGCGGCTGTGGAGCTTAGCCCTGCAACCATATAACTTCACCATCAGCTACCGGCCCGGTAAGCACAACGGTAATGCAGATCAATTGTCCCGGCAAACAGACTAGTTCCGGTCATCCCCAAGTTGACCCGCAAAGGCTCAAGCCGGGTCTGCCGGAGTGTCCCACAAGGAGGGAGCCGTGTGACAGATCCCTCTGTCTGGGAACTATGCCTTTAACCCTTTGGTTTTGTCTGTTTTTCTGTTAATTGCCTGCCCGTACTCCCCCGTTCGTTTATTTCCCGAACAAACTCCCGAACAAACTGCCGAACAACCGCCCACCACCCCCTGGTGTTGAGCACCAGCATTAGTGCGGCCACATACCAGGTCCCTGATACAGCTACTGCGTATCCCAGGAGTTAGAAGATATGCAGACCCCCCAGGAACTGGATAAGGAGGCTCTGCAGCAGAAACCAGGAGCTTGGAAATAAGCAGACCCCCAAGGAGCTGAATAGAGAGGCTCTGCAGCAGGAATGTATCTAGTACAGAAACAAGGCAAGGCTAGTGTAGCGGATGGCCATGAGCTGCCCTGGGACTTACATTATGTTTAATCTGTATTCGTCTATTTGCTAAATGTCTATGCAGTGAGGGAATGTATTCGTATAAAATAGCTAAGTTCTATGTGTAAAATGTATCGGATTCGTCTAAATGTAAGGTAGTTTCATTCCCTTAGTTTGTTCGAATGAAACTACCGAACAGTCAGACCTCCATGTGTGAAGTGTGCCTTCAATTACCCGTTGCAACATTGTTGCGAACGGGTAATTGACAATCTGTGTTCTCCGGGGTGGCCGCCATTCGAGAAACAAACACGTGGCGGCGGCCATCTTAACCTCCCAAACAGCAGTGTTTTGCCGTCGAGTGTCTGGAACTAAAAACGGACACTCGATTAGGCGAACACCGCTGAGACCTCCATCAGCCCGGTCTGTTCGGTTCCAAGCTACCGAACGGCCCCTCGTTCGGTAGGCATAATCAACCGAACGAGGGGATTCAGGCAAACCCTCCCAAGCCTCTATAGCTGGAGGCTTTCAGGTACCGACCGCAGGGCCCCATCGCATGGAGCCCAATTCGGCTAGTTCATCCAGCACGGTCGGTCATTTTATTCCCTCCAGGAAATTCCCAAACCCCTGGTCCGATCTGGATGATTTTTGGATATGTTGTTCACCCAGATCAGGGCTACCAGGGGATGTATAATTTAAAGGGGTACCCCTAGGTTTAGGGGTACATCCAGAAACGGGGGGAATTGCTGTACTGGATAAGGGGATTATGATGCCGGCTGAGGGGAGGAGAGGTGTGGGAGGTTACCGGGACAGGATTGGCTACTGTATTAATGAATGGAAATCCCTCCCTTGCATGGGAGCATGCAATATAAGGCACTGTGGAATAAAGGTTGTCAGTTCTGCTCCTGAAACTGTATGTCGTCCAGTTATTGGGATTGCTGTTGGGATATTGCTGTGTTATTTTGCCTGCTGGAAACCTTGCCTGTGGATTTACAATTTACTTGTTCCTGAGCCTCACTTGGATTATAAGCGGAGATAACCTGGGGAATATTGTATCTCCGCTACAGCTAGGATAGTCACCAAACATGAAAACAAGACAACACTAGGAGAACCCAGAACCAGAGAAGGATAGAAAGCTAAACCCAGAACATGTACACAATACATAAGGGAAAATTAACATAACATGGGCAGGACATGTCTGTACATGGACTGGGAATACAAAATAAAACAAGACAAGATATGATAGGCAAAACAAGAGGAGACATAACTAAGCACTATATATATGAAAACTATGGGGATTTAGTTACATTATATACAGAATGGGACGGAATACAGGAATGAACCCAGAAAACCAGACATGTAATAGAAAACCAGAAAAACCAAGAAAAACTAAACAAAAATTGTAAAAAGAGCACTGGATACCAGAAGCCAAGGCCAGACATCTCCGCAGAACATGGCATGATGTGACAGAAATATAGAAAGCAAGGTGCTGGTTGGGATTATTGTCAGAATTGCAAGTTAGACTATAATTTATCTCATGATTTAATATGCCTTTCCAATCATCAAGAAGTGTTTCCCATCTCATCCCAATACCAAAGCTATGAACTCACAGGTAGGGGTATTATGAGTCACTGGTGGTGTCAACGTGAGGGATGACATGTCCATATGGTCAAGGTCCCCACTTAGTGTTTCCCCAGATGTGCTTTTTCCTCAAATATTAGTTTTTGCCACTGGATTTTTTACCTGGCCCCAGACCACTGGGTGGACTGGTAATCCTAGACCCTGGTCCACAGATGGGGGATAGGTATTATTCCCACTTTGACAATATGCATTCACGTTGTGAACGGAGGAGGGAAACTGTTGGGAATAATACACTTTGCCTATACTGACCCAAGGCTCAAGCAACAGATGTCAGGATGTTCAGTATGTTTAAAATTGGCTAACTTGGAGCATGTCAGCTATTTGAAATAATATACTTTGTCTATGTACAATACTTAGTGAATATACCCCTAGACAAGAGCTATAGAACATCTTGTAACAAGTGTTAGTGTTATAGCCTGTGTGTTTCTGCCGTTGGCTTTATTTCCTGTGTTTCTCCCTTTGATCATAACTGCATAGTAATGTGTAATTTAAAACTGCATAGTTAATATCTTTAGATCTAAGTGTGTATGCGTTTTAATTCTAAGTGCGTAGTTAGAGAGAAACTTTGCTTTTGTGCAAGGCCTGAACATGAAGATACACCTGCAAGCTAGCTATAGGTTAAGATGCTAAGATAAGATATGCAAATCTGTTTATGTCCCATTGGGAGACCTGTTATGTATATGGGGATCATGGCTGGGGGCAGAACCTGGTGCTATACCGCCGTTATATCGACGATATACTCTTTATTTGGAGGGGAGACAAGATCTCCCTTCAGGATTTCCTAATATTCTTGAATACTAATGACTGGGGAATTACACTAATTAGTGAGCATAGTCAACTAGTCATTCATTTTTTATATTTGAATATATATATTGAAAATGGCCAAATTAAATCAAAGACTTATTTTAAAAAGGTTGACGTCAATAGTTATATAGAACGAAAAAGCTGTCACTTTTCACCATGGTTGCTTAATGCACCAAAAGCTCAACTATTGCGAATGAAACGTAATTGTACAGAAATTAGTACATTTGAAACCCAGTCTGAAATAATTTTAAAGAATTTTAAGGATAAGGGGTATCAGGAAAATCTTTTGAGAAAATCCCTTGAAGAGGTACAAGAAAAAGATAGACTAAGCCTGCTCCAGTACAAACAACCTATTAAGCTTGGAGATAATATGCAAGTATCCTTTATATGTGACTTTAACTCTAAAAGCCACATTGTTAAGAAAATTATGAATAAGTACTGGCCAATTTTAAAAGAGGACCCCTTTTTGAATACAATTCTGCCTGATCATCCCAGAATTGTTTATAGGGGAGTAGAGAACTTGAAAGATAATTTAGTGTGTAATCATATTAAACAAACTAAATCTACACTAAGTATATTCAATGAGTCTGCAGGTTTCTACGGATGCGGCACGTGTAGTGCCTGCAAAAATACTGGAAATAAAAAGAGAACAATTAAAAAATTCCATAATCCACAAAAAATAAGAGACATACAATATTAGGGAATTAATTACATGCTACTCAAAAAGAGTCATATACCTGATAGTATGTACCTGCGGGCTAGGGTATATAGGAAGGACAGCAAGACCTCTCCAAGTTCGTATTCAGGAGCATATAAGGAACATTAAAAATGGCTTTGAAAAACACAGTTTGTCTATGCACTTTAAACAACATCACAATCAGGATCCAAAACAGTTACATTTCATTGGTATCCAGCTGGTTAAAACAAACTGGAGAGGGGATGATCTTACTAAAAAAAATGGGACAGGTAGAGATGAAATGGATTTTTAACTTAAACACACTAATTCCAGGTGGCCTCAATAATGACTTTGAGATATGCCATTTTATCTAAAAAATTACTCTCTATCTGTCCCTTTAAGAAATTATTCTTTTTATTTTTTTTAAACTTCTAAATACTAAATTTTAATTAGAATTATTGGAAATTAACTACACTCTTAGGGGAGTGATTTCATCCCTAGTACAAAAACTGGAAATGAAGACCGATCATGAAATATATGCACTTTTCTGCACATTGAGTATTGACGTTATTAAGAATGTTAATAATTTAAGTAACATAAGAAGATTGCCTTTATATTAATTTTATATCAATTTTTCATAAAATTTACAGAAACTGTAACAGAAACAAATGTAATTAATTTTTATTGATTATATCACTTTAACTTTTAATTGACAATGATTAATAAAATCAATATACAATGAATAGGGAAGAAATCCATTCTGCAGTATATGTATTTATTATAGATACTGTTAAGAACAAGTATGAAACTATATGGGAAGATACTAATATGTACCAATGTGTGTTTTTTTCCTTCCTCTTTTCTTTGTTTTATTCATTTTCTCTATTATGTGCTGAGCACAATTTAAAAGGGTGGAATATGTATGTATTTAACTTAGGGCGATGGGTGTCGGCAAACCAACCTGTTCTGCCACTTTTTTTTTGCTTGAGGGTATGTGCCCAATAGCAAGATGGCTGCGGTGAGAGTGGAAGTGATCCTGATCACCCTGATGAAAGGAAGGTGAGGAAATTGACCTCACAATAAGCTAACTTAAACACACTAATTCCAGGTGGCCTCAATAATGACTTTGAGATATGCCATTTTATCTAAAAAATTACTCTCTATCTGTCCCTTTAAGAAATTATTCTTTTTATTGGAGGATGGGATGGGAGGACCGCCCACTGGATGAAGAAACCGGCATATTTAAAAAGCAGCATGAAGACAATGAGGATACCGATTGAAAAAGCCCCCATAGTGGGTGAAATGCGTCTCTGGACTGGAGCTAATTACTGGGACACTCTTTTATTTTATATAGAAGCAACTGGACATTTTTATTTAATTCTATGTTTTTGTTTTTATATTTAAAGTTGCAATAAATGTATTTTAAACCAAGTCCCACCAGCTTCTATCTTCATCTTGCTGCTAACGAAGGGCAAGCGCCCCCCTCTAGAGGTACCCAGGTCTATCATCCAGAGCCAGGTTCTCATTGGCTCAGGAAAAGGTGAGCACAACCATAACCACTGTGTTTTTTTATTTTTGTTGAAACTTAATACACTAGGAAGTCTCCCTTTCTCTCTCCTTTGAGGAAATCCATTCCAGGCAAAAGGGTGCAGTGTCTCCATATGACACTACTGTGCAAGTGATTTGAGCCATAATCCAAAGGCAATAGGCGAGCAACCAGGCTTCTCCAATGCAATGTGGCTAGATTGCTCTCGTCACATGTATATTTGATCATTTTCAGGAAATTGGCCTCTACTATGTTTTTGGGGTTAGCAGTTATAATAATACCCAGTTATTGAAAATGTTTCTTGGTCCAGTGGAAATCATATTTCTATTTTAATCGGCTTAAGGAGGAGGAATTAATATTAATACTTAAAGCGGTGTTTTTTTGAACATTAATTTTATAGTTAGAAATTTCCCCATATTCCTGAATCTCATGCACTAAGTGGTCAAGTGAATTTGAAGGGTCAGTAATAGTAAGCAGCACGTCGTCTGCATAAAGACAGATCTTTAATTCTACATCTCCTATAGTGATACCTTTTATATTAGGATTATCTCTGATAGCTATCGCAAACGGTTCAATAGATAAAACATACAGAAGGGGATATAGAGGACAACCCTGCCTGGTCCCGTTTGCAATATCAAGCCATTTAGTACAGAAATTGGTATTGATTATTCTAGCTGATGGGCACAAATATAAGACTCTAATAGCATCAGCTATCCATCCTTCCAGTCCAAATGCAGCTAAGGTCTTCATCATATATCCCCAACCGACCCCGTCGAAGGCCTTTTCTGCATCCACCGACAGGGTCAGAAGGAATAATATGGTAATTAATACAGCTACAGATCTAGCTTTTTATGGATTCTTAAGTCCAAAGGAATTCACCACCAGTAATGTACCGGCCACAGACAGGCCACAAATACGTAGACCTATACCTTCTTTCACTTCAACACTCTAGACTAGCCAGATGGGACACACGGTTAACATACCTTTTTCCCTACCTATAATAAATGGTGACCTGTTAAGGTTTGATACATATTTCAACACCTTTCACAAACAACCAAACCAACCACTATTAGAATTATACAGTTCCATTCGCACTACTGCTAAATTTATGCTCTATGTCCATATGCTATTCACTAGACTTGGCCTAAAAGCAAATCATTACTCAGGACACTCTTAGCATAGTGACAGCATCATTGGCTTCCTCCAACCACCTCCAAGCTCATGTAATCAAAGCTATGGGATGCTGGGAATCATCTGCTTACACTCTATACATACCAAACCCAGTTAAAGAGTTACGGAAAGCATTTAGTGATTTGTCCAAATAGTTGATGTTTGAATAAATTTTGTATGGTACTCTTCTTTTTGCCCTCTTTATTACAGGCCTACTGCATTGTTGATTTCGGTACATCACAACCGACTGGTGTCATTAACTATGTTTATTGTATACAAATTATGTTCTCTTACCATTACAGCAATATTGCCCTGACCACAAATTTAAGGCTGGGCCTGAAGTTGTGGGAGGGGCTTGGGTCCCCTTTATAAGATCTTCCAATCCTCTCCCACTTTACCGTTGTTGGTTTGGCGAGTTGCCCCTCCCACCACTCCCTTTATTAATATCACCGTCTAAGGTGGGCCTTTTTTATTACAGACCTACTGCATTGTCGATTCCGGCACATCACAACCGACTAATGTCATTAACTATTTTTATTGTTTACAAATTATGTTATCTTACCATTAAGGCAATATTGCCCTGACTACAAATATATATAGTCTATATATACAAACTTCTCGGTTAACATAATTTTCATTTTTTTTCGCAATACAAAGCAAGTTTCCCCAGGATGCATTGAACCTGGGAGGTTTTTAGCACTGCCCCCTGCATGCTGGAGCCTGTGGGTAGCACGTGGCGTCGAGTGTGGAGGTGTTAGAGCGGCCTTTGCATTTTTGGAGCCGTTCTGGGAATATTTTGCTGTGGTTTTGGGACTTTTTGGTGCATTTCTCAAGCTGTGGAAAGGTAGGGAGCTGAGCTTCCTTCTTTGCATGCCTTTTATTGTGTGTTCTGCATTGTGGGTTGGTTTCCATGCCAGATCATTTTGACTTTTTTCTGACCTCCAGAACGGATTCATTGGTTTTCAATGCATTCCTATGGGAAACCGCGTTTCGGTTTACATATTTTTCAAAAAAAGAACCGTCCTGGAGAGCGCCTTAAATTCGTAAACGGAGGTCCCACTGTACATGATAGTCTCCTGTCATTTTACAACATAGACAATATTTACAAAATAGCAATTTGTGAGAAAAAAACAAAGAGTGAGTCCTTAAGTCTTTCGTCATGAAGGTATCAGTTTAATGTTTCTGTGGAGAAGGTTCTTAGCTGCCAAGAATGCAGAGTTCGTACTGACATCAATATATCACGGCAGCATCTGGCTTCTTTTATACTTATTCCTAGAATTCAGAGGAACGCCACCATCACCCTAAAACCAAGTCAAGTGCCAGATGAACAAGTAACACATTAGCCCCCTTTGACACCGAAAGGAATAGTGCTGAGCAACTAAGGTGCCAATCTGAGTGTGGACTCTTAATAATGATATTATATTGTGGACCCCTAATGATATCATTGTATTGTGGACCCCTAATAATGGTATCATTGTATTGTGGACCCCTAATAATGGTATCATTGTATTGTGGACCCCTAATAACGATATTATTATATTGTGCACCCCTAATAATCTTATTATATTGTGGACACGCTAAACACTATAACCACTTCATCTCATTGAAGTGGTTATACTGCCTGGAGTCATATTATTTTAGCATAAATTAGTTCAAAAATGTAAATATGAACCACGATTCAGCGCTAATTTTGACACAAATCAACAAGGAGCCCATGATATAACGCTAATATTGTCTTCAATCAACTATGAGCCCATGATTCAGTGCTAATATTGTCTTCAATCAACTGAGCCCATGATTCAGTGCTAATATTGTCTTCAATCAACTATGAGCCCATGATATAGTGCTTATATTGACATCAATCCATTAGGAGCCCATGATTCAGTGCTAATAATGACACCATGATTCAGTGCTAGTATTGACATCAATCAACAAGGAGCCCATGATATAACGCTAATATTGTCTTCAATCAACCATGAGCCCATGATTCAGTGCTAATATTGACATCAATCAACTAGGAGCCCATGATTCAGCGCTAATATTGTCTTCAATCAACTATAAGCCCATGATTTAGTGCTAATATTGACAATCAATTAGGAGCCCATGTTTCAGTGCTAATATTGACATCAATCAATTAGGAGCCCATGATTCAGCACTAATATTGTCTTCAATCAACTATAAGCCCATGATTTAGTGCTAATATTGACAATCAATTAGGAGCCCATGTTTCAGTGCAAATATTGACATCAATCAACTAGGAGCCAGTGTTCCCTGTATTAAGGAGCTTTAAGGGTTGGTCGCCAAGGATTTATTAGATCCGAGCAGTACTTATTTTGATTTTACAAACAAAAGTGTGGGTTGTAGGCGCTTATTTCTTATTAATGTTTCTCCTATCCTGTAGGCTTTCTCAATCCGCTGATAGGATAGGTGAAACGCGTCTCGGCAGTCGGAGGATCCAGAGGATATTCATTATTTTATATTGATTTTTTTATCTTCATTTGTTTTCTATTTTAATTTATTTTACCAAATAAAGAGCACTGTGTGCACTTTTAAAATATCATAGATCCAAGCTTCCTATACCGGGTACCAAGGGGTTGTGTCACCCTGAAAGGACACATACATGCTTCAAACTCAGAGCCAGTTTTGTAAGGCTCTGCAGCAGGTGAGCGCTCTCTAGTGTGTGTTATAGTTCACTACTAAGATACAAACTCACTGCACTTAGAAGTTTTCTCTTCATTTTGTTCCCTGTTTCATACTCTCAACTACCATCACCACTAGAACAAAAGAGGTAGTGTGCCACCCAAAGACACACCTGCATTCAACTTTGGAGCTTATATGTTAAAAGGCTCCTAAACATGTGAGTTAAATACCACTCACTTACATAATTGTATCTCACTTTCTGTATTACGGATTTACACTATATGGTTTTATGCTTCTTTAATATGTATGGTGTAACCTGCCCTGAAATTTTGAAAGGGTAAGTTTGAATTCAAACTAGCGCAGTACTTATTTTGGCATTGCTGCAAAATTACTCCAAAATAGTTCATAACTGATGTAAATTTGCAGCAATGACAGTTGTTAAAGTTTAATTGTGCGACTGCTACATAGAAAACTACACAAACTCAACGTGGTTCACGTTCACTAAAGCAAAGACTCGTTTCCACTGAGCTTTATGGTTCGGGTCAATACGGTTTGGAAGGATTAGAATGGTCCAGCCTATTCAGTTGAGCGTTTCCACTGCAAGTTGGACCACCAGGGGGCATGCGGGATTTAGACCAAATGCCTAGAGTGTCATTTGTTGTGAGCATTGACATTTTCCTGTCCGACAATCGATGGATTGTATAGTGT